TTCAGTGTTTTCCCACAGACAGTGCTTGGTAATTAAGCTGGATACAATAATCTTACTTTTACAGAGTACTGTAAGAGACTCCAGGTTCCTGAAAATGAGTGGCGAACTGTCATTCCTCATCAGAACTTTTGCCAACCTGTTCACAGAGCAGAAGTTCTGCAGATTTTAGGTGCTGTTTTGAGCAGGTAATATGGATAGATACAAGTAAAACACAATTGTTAGATGTGAAGTCAGGGACCAAAGAAACAGAAGAGCTCCAAAAGTCTCTGGAAGTAAATTGAATCATTTATGAGGTTAGATACGGTAGTCAGAGGAGTGGTGGAATAAATAATGTACATAACTTTGACTTCAAGGATTTACATATTGACATTAACACAATGTGATTAGAGGATTCTCTAATTCAGGCCTAGAGGCCAGATACTTGTAGGGATGCCCAGACAACTGTGGAAGGCCATGGCTTGACCTTTAACCCCATATTCTAAGAGGGCCAGGGACCAGCTCCAGGAACTAATGGTATGAGCAGGCTAGACAATTCTGTGTGTTCTTGGTAAGGCATTTTTTCTGGTGTAGGTAAAGCCATTCCTGTAAGCAAATATGGCTTCCTTATTGCATGGTATACCAACTCAGAGACTCTGCTGCAGTGATTGCTGATGCTCATCATATCAGAGATCTTAATAGATTGTAGTGTTAGAATATTCCATCAGTTATTTCATGGCTATCCAAGCAATTTAATATCTGGCCAAAATATGGCTAATATGGCATAATATCCACAGATGAAGAAAACACTGAAAACATGCCAGTGAGCAAACTCCAGGAATATTCTACTCACTGCTAATTTTGAAATATAATATTTTAAATTCAATAAGATAATACTGTGTTTCAATGTACTATATCTTTCTGCCTTTGAACAGCATGAAGACAGCCATTATACGCCAGAAGTTACTGTGTAACATCCGGATATTACCACTGTGAATGCTACTTAACACAGCTGAGTTTCAGTGCAGTCCCTTTCTGGTGAGATAAGTCAAATGGTATTTATTATTTTTGTGAATTACTGGAATAGAAAGAATCACTGTACAATTAAAAACAACTTCTATCTGTTTGCAGTGAGCCCTTTGGCTGAATGTTATACAGGACCAAGCAGAGGAACTTTATTGGAGAGTTTGTTTGCATATTTAAGACTCGTAAAGCGTGGGCAGCTTTGGTAGCAGCAATGTGGCAAACTAAAACAATACCTTAGGTACTGAGCAGTGCCTTTATGGTTCAGAAGGGCTCTTGAGGGTTGGCAGAAAGGCTGTTGGGGCAGAATGCGTAGATGTCCTGTGTTATCCCCAGACAGTACGCTGGTGACAAAGAAGTAGAAATCAATGGGGTGTGGTCAAAGTGCTCAGATTTTTTTTAAATTGTTTTACATAAAAAAAGTTAAAATGTGAAGAATAAGATATTTAGCTCTAGTGATAAAGAAAGCATTCTTTATTTGTACCAAAACCAGTTTTTATCTTGCTTTAACCAACAGAAGGACAGAGACAAAGAAAAATAAATACAATAAAAAATGAAATCTTTATTTTTTGGCTCATTTGTAATATTGTTTACGTTGGTTATGATAATAACAATTTCCTGCATGCATTTCACCAACACATTACAAGTCAAAAGCATTTGTAAAAGAAAGATTCTACATTTAATGTTAGCGTGTGTATGAAACACAAAATGTCCTGATGTCCTTGATTATACAAATGTGCCATTTTGTTCTTGGGAAATATTGTCGATTCTATTTGTACAAGTCTAGTGCAGCGTGATTCAAAAAGAATAAGAATAGGCTATGTAAACAGACACTGCAAGATAGCAAGGATTTCATGAACAATGAGACTATCTTGGGCCTTCTGATGCAAACAAGCGCTAGAAATTTGCACATTCCCCTAATACTTCCCTTGCTATGTCCTGTTACCAGATATAACTATTTGGAAACAAGCTGGGTTCCAGACTTACACAATTTACTTCACATTGAAATATATGCAAATATAATATTAAAACAAGATAGTCTACAAATACTCACTTTTTTTCTCATAGTGTGATGATGCCAGTTTGAAATTACCGTGGTTAGAAAGTAAGCCAAGTGAATGAGGAAAGAAATATAAGAAACAGTGATCTAAACTTGAAGACACTTTTCTTATATACAAAACTGTTGCCAAGTGGTATTTCTTTACATTATTTATATATGCTAACCACATTTCCAACAGGTTAAATAGTTTGCAGTATGGCCTGTACAGTCTGATTCTACACCATATAGTAGCCACTTCAGATTTAAAATGCAAAACTAAAGAAGCTCATAAATAGCTGCAAACTATTGCTTAATGATTTGAAAGAATGAGGTCTGGTTGTACAATTTGATTTACTTCACCACTGACACATGGCTTCCTATAGTGGAGACTGTGGACAGCGGAAGGAGCACGATACAGCAGCAAAAGCATTGACATGCATCAGTGATACTCTCCAAACTATCTATAACGACACAAAATACAACATGTCCTGTTGAGCTCTTGCAAATTACCCACACTGTGGTACATATCTGATGCAATTCAATATGGCAAAGCCGTTTAATTCTGTGCTCAAATATGCACTACAGTATACCATTAATGTTTACATGGAAAAGGGTATTTTACTGATTCACTGGATGTTGGCCATAATGAGAGAAAACAGTAACTAAAGAACAGTCTAGGAAAAAATCTGAGCTGTTTAAAAAAAAGGAAAACAAAAGAACTCCCAGGTGTATTTTGGTGAAGCTATTTTTCCAGTCCAGAAACCGCACAATATTTTTTAAGCTGTGAATATTTTAACAAAAACAAGAACTTGTTCATGTTTAATGATTTGCATAAAAATAAGTAATTGCAGATTCCTGTAAATTAGAGGAGACTTTCCAGGCACATTAATCTGGATGCACATAATCTGGATGCAGCCATACAGATAGTTAGAACGCCTCAAATTTAAGAGCAACCCTGAAACATGGAAGTTCTTAAAATCTTTAGCTTTATGCAATGTCATATTTTTATTTACGCATGATTGACAAGTGCAGCATGCCTATGCAAATCACTTCTATCTGTATATTACAGAGAATCTAAGAGTAGAACACCTGGTCCTCATACCTCTTTCCCCAACATAAAACCTATAAAAAAATAGTCACATATAATAGTAAACAATTTGTGAATTAAAAAATGATAAATGCACTAATACTGATTTTGTAAAAATATGACAAATGTAGCAGTTGCATTACAAACAGTGAAGAGAATTACTATTCTATGTGTTTTGCAGTATGTGAAACACAAAAAAGTATCGCTTTGCGCTCATTTCATGCTCCATGTTGTTTGTGGAGCCACTTTTTCCCTCATTCTTAGCAGTGTCAGCTGTAGTGAAAACAGTAACCTCTTTTCAGTTTGATGATGAAGGTTCACTGTTTTGTTATAGGCACTGACCTCAAGTATATATATAATGTATATATACGCACACACACACGCGCGCGCACACACACACACACATATATATGTGTAAAAACTGTCAGTTTGGCATAAACCTCCTGCAGGAGTCCAGTTGATGCTTCATTCTCAAAGACTGTAAACAAGTTGTCCCACAAGCGGAATTCTTAGATCTTTATTTTTTATTTTCCCTGACATCTTTACCTTTGTAGTTCTTTTCTGCTTTATCTTTTTCATATTTTTCTTTGTCTGGCTTTGTTACACTGTCATAAGAAGGTGGGGAAGTTGTAGAGGAACTCTCATCCGTTTTTTCTGGAGTGGAGTTCCCATTTAGTTTATCAATAATTATCTCTTTTATAACTGGTCCATCTCCTTCTTTGTTTTTATTTCTGTTATATATACTAGACACCTTTTTAACTTTTTGCCTTAAAAGGTAATGCCTGTAAGCACGCTGAATAATGACAGCAGATACCTCCTCCTGTTTTCGTTTTAATGTGGTTGTAATTGGTTCATAGGAGACTTTAGAAGGATTGGCTGCCATAAACCGATCTTCCATCTGTATTCTGAGGGCGTCCATCTCCCCACTTTCCCCCAAAACACGCTTTGTGAAAGCAAACAAGATGTCAAGGCAGTGAATTCTGTCCCCGCTTACCATGGGCAGATCCATTGCAATAAGCTGGACTTTGTTTGGTTTTGCTATAAGAAGAGGAGGATCTAACGAGGCTGCAAAATCTGATAGCTTACTGTATTCTATGAATTGTGTTGCATCGGGATCAAACTTCTCCCAGACTTCATAGAACATCTCAAAGTCATCCTCACTCAAGGGCTCAGCACTTTCTTCAGTGGCAACACTGAAGTTCTCCAAAATCACAGCAATGTACATGTTCACCACTACCAGAAATGATATGATAATGTAGCTGACAAAGAAGAAAATCCCAACGGAAGGGTTGCCGCAGTCGCCTTTCACGGAGCTCCCCGGATGATCTTTATGGGGGTCACAGTCTGGCTCCCCACTGTTAAGAATTGGGGCTAGCAAACCATCCCAGCCAGCAGATGTGGTAATTTGAAATAGGCAGATCATGCTGTTGCCAAACGTTTCAAAGTTGAACATGTCATCGATCCCAACTTCCCTCTTAACATAGGCAAAGTTGGACATGCCAAATATCGCATAGATAAACATGACCAGGAACAGCAGCAGACCAATGTTGAACAAAGCAGGAAGAGACATCATCAAAGCAAAAAGCAGAGTGCGGATTCCCTTAGCGCCTTTAATGAGACGCAGGATTCGACCGATTCTGGCAAGTCGGATGACTCTGAATAGTGTGGGGGATACAAAATACTTTTCAATCATCTCAGCTAAAAACATACCTAGAGAAAAAAAAGTGAATATTTAAAATAGAATTTTAAATTTATTCATTCATTACCTGTAGAAAGATTTATTTATTGCTGTCTCCAAAACAATCAGTATAGGGAGTCTATGTTACAGCAAAACATCATACAAGTTATTACATTTTATTGAAAGCTGTTATTAAGGTGAAAGCACCTTCCTTATGCTGAAATGCTATCTAGGAGAAGGGAAATAAGTAAAAAAAAGAAGACTGCTTGTGGCAAGGTAGCTAGTGTCTGTCTAAGCTTTCAGTTATTCCTAAAGCAGCCTGGAAAGAGAAGTTTCTGTTTTAGATATAATTAGTTCTTGAAGCTGAGCCTGTTACCACTGTCTTTTATGAAGGACTCTATTGGCTTAATTTCTGCAAATTAGTGACTTTTTTTACCTGAGGATCTACACTGTATCAGCACAGCCTCTCTCAGGTGTATCACTCTTTAAGAATTAAGTTTTGTCACACAACTAATTTGCACCTTGGAGAGTCATTAGCTTTTAGTTGACAGAAATCTAAATATTCACCAAGACCTTAGTTAGCAAAAGCAATTAAAAATCTCACCCCCTTCACATACTTTTCAGTTTTAGTACTGAAAGCAAATTTGGGGTTAGTTCGCATATACGACTAAACATTCCTTTCTATATTTGTACATGTTAATCTAATGTGCCAAATAGTTCCTTTATGTCTTTTGATCTGGAAGATGACAGTGAATGTAATGGGGGAGATAAAAATCTTATATGCAACATTTCATATATTGTATGCTATAAAGTATGAAGATCTGAATCAACATGTAAGTCATACAGGAAACAGAAAATTTCATATTCAGTATCACAACATTCTTGAAACAAATGTTCCCTTTTCCTTCCACTAGTTCTTTCTAGAAAGGGAATTGCTCTTACCTACGATGGAGAGAATCACAACCACAAAATCAAAAATATTCCAGCCTATAGTGAAGTAGTAATGGCGAAGTGAAATCAATTTCAGGACACATTCTCCAGTGAAAAGGATAATGAACACAAGGTTAATCCGGGATAAAATTGTTTCCATTTCTTTACTCTGGTCATCTGTTTCTACCATCATTGTGACCATGTTAAGGCAGATGAGTATCATGATGCTGATGTCAAATACTTGTTTGGTTACAAAATCAAAGACCATGCCTTGGAATTTGTTCTGCAAAAACAAAGATGGAATACAGTTTATACTCTGAAAATACTGGTCTTTACAAATGCCAGTAATACATCTGTTAATATACACCAAACCCATGCTGGTTTGTGTCTCATCCTCTTACACCGGATCAAGAAATGTACCACGGTTGGCTGAGGGGATGGGAAGGAAAACAATGCAATAATAATAGTAATAACATTGACAATTGATACTATTGGTGTAAAAAAGGTGGCCTAACTTGATAGCCAGCAAGAGTACCAGCCAAATAGAAACTCATTTTCTTATCTTTATTCTTAGCTGGTTTTAGAATACTAACCCCCAGAGATGTCTTTCTCTTCCTTAAACTAATTGTGCTTGGTGAGATCGTTGGGCTGCTGAAGTTGCATGTCTCAAACACACCACGACTGCAATATCCTAGTTTTCCTTTAGTACTTAGCTAAATGTTTATTGCCATATGTCTCTCCTTAGAAAGACTATTTTTAACCACTCGGTGCATAAGGTGCAACAAGTATTTATTTTTTCCAAACACTGTAGGAGTTCAATAAATAACAGAGTAGTTTCTTATCTTGAAGACAAATTTATCCTAGTTTATGCTTTATTCCTCAGAGCATTCTTTTGTTCTGTAAGATTATCTGCATCTGTCTTTCTCTTTCACATTAGGTGACCACTGCCCCTTTCTTCTTCAGCAGTAAGGGCCAGTGCATCCCCAGTTCCTACAAATTCTCTGGGAGGAGAAAAAGCAGAAAATGAAGTTTATCCGTGGGTAATAAGAACCAATAAATGATCCAATCAACTGTACTTTTCTAGGACTTAGGCAGGGAATTACGAAATTTATCATAATAACCTTATTCAATCCTACAGTTCATACTTCAGAGTGTATGCTTTTAAATGAAACATGAACGATCTAGTCTGCTGAACTAAAAAAAAAGGACAAATTCTACCTTTACAAGAAAATAAATGGAAAAAATATTTTCTTTGCAGACATATAACCTTCTCTTGTTGGCTAAAATCATATTCCCAAATGAGTATTTAATATTAGGGATATTAAAATCAAATCACTCTTACCACTGGCCTCGGTATAGGTTTCTGTGGCTTTTTGGATCCCAGTTTTTTCATTGCATTGTAATATTTCTTCTGTTCTTCTGTCATAAATATATCCTGACCTCCAAAGTAAAGAAATAATATCAAAGCTAATTACTATCATGTCCACACATACAACACTTAACTACAGTATGTCTGGCTGTAATATAGTATTACAGTTATATTTGATTTATATAACAAAAGTGATTTTTTCAGGTATTTATAGTGTGGATGCTCATATGCATTCCTAACACAAAAAACCCCAAAACCTTACTGGTGCCTTTTCAGGCCGACGGTTGAGTTTTTCCAGTGTCTTCATGCTCACTTTTGCTGATATGGCTAAAATGGTTCTTACTATACTGATGCTGTTAAATAATTCACTGATTAGGATATGTTTAGTGCACAGGAGCCTGCCTGGTGCCTTACATGTCCTAAATTCTAGATAGACTTTTAGGATTACAGCTAGCCAGATCTAAAAGTGGGGTAACTTTGAGGGTCATTTGTGTCAAGGGAGAGTATTTGGGTCTAATCTGAGGGTTTTAAAGACAGCAAAAAAAATCACCTTCGATATAAACTTAAGAAAAATAATCCAAATCATGCCATAGCAAATTATTAATTAAAACACCACTGGAACCTTGACTAACTCAAATTAGCCTTTGTTTGCTGATGCAAATGCTGCCAGTCAGATGTGCAACTGACGACTGAATTTCAGTATGAAGTAAATTGTGCTTATTGATGAGTCTCAACTAAGTCAAATGGAAACACAATGTCAAAGTCACTGTCTGCTAAACTGGATATCGAAGCCCAAAGCATGGCATAATTGATAGAAACTGAGGAAGTAGCCCCAGATGTGTTTATGGCTCTTTTAAGAAGCTAAAGAATATTTTCACAAGGAAAAATTTCTGTAGTTCACAACTGACTTTTACCATAGATTCTGTTTGGTACTGCTGCTTTTTATTTGGAGATCGGATAAAACCAAATCATATGAAAGTGCTTTTTCACAGCATACAAAGATTTAGAATGATCCTGACGTTCTAGTTCTTTTTGGCAGTTGAAGGCTAAGAATTGTGAGGCTTCAAAATATTTTAGATGTGATTATTTGTATTTTTAAAATTATTTTAAATAAAACTATATGTATTATCAATATAATTATTTTAAACATACTTGTGTGAAATGTATACAGAAAAAAAATCCTTCCTTTTATACCTTTGCTTTATTATTGCTAATAAATTATAGATTGTGTCTAACAAGTTCATCTCATTTCTCACAAAAGTGTTAGAAAAATAGAGCTCTTTTGTACACATTTTTACTTGTATCTTTAAGCCTATTCGTGTGAGGTTTATTGGACTTAACTCTTAACCCACTGTTTAATCAGTTTGCAGAACTGTTATCTATTGTATGAACACAGTGCCATATTGTATCTTCATTAAGTGTCAACAGTTTATAAGATTAATTAAAATTAATTTATCTTAATTCTTTAAAGTTAATTAAAAAAGAAACTCTTCCATGGCAGATAATATTACATCTAATCAAAAGAATAATGCACATTCCCTCTTTGCATCTTCATTTTAGCTCTTACACAATTTGCAAATTATTATGAACTGACTCATGATTTGTCCCTCTTCGCTTGTCAAAATGCTGAAATGCAAAGGTCATATCACATCTACAGATTTAACACAGATTATGTTAAAAAAAGAGACATTTTTATTCAAGGACTTTTGATTTTTATTAGCTTTACATAAATAAGTTATTAATTCATTATAGCTAATAATTTATAGTACTATGGAAACATTTTAAATACTTATCTTCTTTTTTTGTTGGTTGAAGTTGTCTATAATGACACCAATGAAAAGGTTCAAGGTAAAGAATGATCCAAATATGATAAAGATGACAAAATAAAGATACATATACAAGTTGTCCTCATACTTAGGTTGATCTTCTACCTACAAAATATTATAAATCCTATTACCCATGAGAATACTAGATGTAAAAAACAATGTATATAATTTATGAATAGGTATATGCTATCTCAGCTAGAAAAGCTATAAACTGCACTCAGTTATTAAAAAGACCCAACATGTCCATTCCAATCAATATTTGGAGAAATGGAAGCTGACAGAATGATTATTCATATGGAATTTTAAAGTAAATGTGCACACAGATATGTTTGTGTATGTACATATACACAAAGTTCCTCGTATAGAAGGAAGAAGCAATGTGGGACTGAGACCAGTCATTAGTACTTAAAATTTTAACAGCACAGATCTAAATATTTTATATTGTGTTCAGTATGTTTTCGTGCAACAGAATCAATCCATTTTACTATCACCTACATCTCCCTGGAACTCTTTTGGTCTTACATGAGTGTTCTTACATCCAGCTAAGAACAGATGCTTTCAATAAATTTCTAGTGAGTGTATGTTTTGTGAAATCCATTAAATTGAGGCAAATTTCTAAAGAGGATTTTGTTACTGTCTCGATTCTTCCGGATTCCACATCTCAATGTCTGCACCTCTACTGCACAATGTGCTAGAAATGCTGAACTTAATGAAACAGGATATATTACTCTGGGAGACAAATATCACTGTGTGATGACGGGTATTACTAATGTGACTATAACGTAGGTTGTATAGAACTAGTTCAGGCATCTGTGTTGCACTTTTTTGTACAAGGTAAACATAGTTTTAGTTTTGTAGCCAAGATAAAATTCTAATCCCTAGAAAACTTAACAGATGATCTTCAACCTTAAAGTCCAATTACACTCAAATAGCTAGATAATATAAGTGCTCAACCTAAAGAAACAATGAAATGCACAGTTACAAATTATAAAACAAGATTAATATATTCAATATGTAATAATTATATTATATAATCTTAAATTAATTCATACTCATGATTACCAAAGGAAGTGACTGATGAGGTGACTACATCAGCGGACATGGGAAGGGCTACAGATGTCATTTATGGGGACCTCTGTAAGGCTTTTGTCATGGTCCCCCACAACATCCTTCTCTCTCAACTGGAGAGGTATGGATTTGATGGGTGGACTGTCCGGTGGGTGAGGACTTGGTTAGATGGTCACATCCAGAGGTCAACGGCTCAATGTCCAGATGGAGGTTGGTGACGAGTGGCATCCCGCAGGGGTCCGTACTGGGACCGGTACTGTTTAATATCTTCATCAGTGACATAGACAGTGGGATCAAGTGCACCCTCAGCAAGTTTGCAAATGACACAAAGCTGAGTGGTGCGGTTGACATGCCAGAGGGACGGGATGCCATCCAGAGGGACCTGGACAAGCTGGAGAAGTGGGCCCGTGTGAAACTCATGAGATTCAACAAGGCCAAGTGCAAGGTCCTGCACCTGGGTCGGGGCAACCCCCAGTAGCAATACAGGCTGGGGGATGAAGGGATTGAGAGCAGCCCTGCCAAGAATGACTTGGGGATACTGGGAGATGAAAAGCTGGACATGAGCCAGCAATGTGCACTCGCAGCCCAGAAGGCCAACTGTATCCTGGGCTGCATCCAAAGAAGCGTGGCCAGCA